CGTTCAGCCATCTTTATTTCATCTGCACCTGCGCTGTTCCTGCTGCGACAGGCCAAAAGGTCCACGCAGCCTCCCGGGTTATTGATCGGCCTCCGCCAATAACTGTGCCTCCCTACAGCCGCATTTCCTCAATAGATGGTCAATGCATCACGAGCATTATGAGCCGGCCTGCTGCTTGTCCTTTTAACCCTGCGGCCTGCGATGACCGTCACGTGAACTTTACTCGAACCCTTGCAGCGGGTCACGCAGCGGTCAAGGATCGGACACACGGGGAGGGGGGGACAACAGTACTTGATGACTTTATTAATAATATGATTTGAACATAAAAATAACATTAAAATAACATGTTTCGTCCTCGTTAACAACTTGCATCATACGGCCACATGGTGGCGTTGTAATGCCAAGCTTGTTATTTTCCTTTTTTGTTTTTTCAAAAATACCAAAATTGTTCTTCAGCCATCCAGTTCATTTGTTCTTCCCGCCATTCGTCGCTTCGACCTCGTACATGGATTCAGACGCCGCCCTCCCCCCTCCCTCGCCCCGCCCCTTTAAAAGAAAAATAATCAAACCCTTTATAAATACAGGCAACCCTGCCCCCTTGTCACAGACACATTATGACAACCACTGACACAGGAAACACCCCGTCTGCACATGCCCCTCCCTCCCGCCCCGCCCACCTCCACACATTATCAATGAACCATTTTCGCTGTTTTTTTTTGTTTGTTTTGCTGCTTTTTCCTCATCCTCTAAAGATCCACACAGTAGATAATCTACCTTTGCTGTATTAAACACATATTATATATAATATAGACTCAGCTGAAATGCTCCACTCTCACAGCCCTGTGCACAGAGTTGCAAAGGGAAGGGACAGCTGGGGGGTTTCTCCCATCTATCTCCCATTCCCTTCTATAATGTTCCTCAACATTAACGATAATCACTCAGGCTTGTCATCTTTACTGCTTGCTGCAAGTTGCAGTTCATTAAAGCACATCTTCTGAGACAGATATTAATATTTAAGACAGTTTTCAGTGTTTTATGCAGATCCAAGCCAGAGAGGGGTTCAAACATTTAAACAAATAACAAACCAGGAAAAATGAATAGCACTTTAACTTCCAGAGCATCTCCTCCCACTTTGCAACTCTTGTTTCTCTATGTTGTGTTTCCTCAGGCTCAAGTTGTCCTAACGTAATAAAATGAAGATGACAGTCTACGTTTGGGCGCGCACATTTACGAACGTGCAGAAAACCCAAACTGGACACGACAGAAAAACAAACCGTTTTTCTTCTGCTGAACCAAAGTGTGGACTCCTCACGTCCCGCCTTGTGGTCCAGTTATTTGTACTCGGGGCAGAGGGTGAAAGTTTAGCTCATCCAGCAGTTTTGTTTTGTTTGTTTTTCACCCGCCCGCCCAAACACGTGCTTCTCGGTGTTCAGCTGTCATCAGAATCATGATACAAAACAAAAAAACTAATTTTTACAGGGAACATCCCCAACATCTTATGCCTAAAACAGATCGACAGGCATGTTTGTGAATAATAGCGAGAACACATGCCAAAATAAAAGACAATTAAATAAGAAACAAATGGTTGGCAAACAAAACAAACTCAATTCATATTGTATTGCATGTAAATATTGTATAAAATCCTTAAAAATACAGTTTAGGTAACTACTTAAGTACTGAAGTCATCACAGCCAAAAGTGCAGAGGTCCATAAATAAAACATTGACTGTGGGTACATAGTGGGGCTTCTCCCACTTAACTCACTGTCTCCGCCACGACCACAAGGGACCGAATGAGCGCCCGGTCAAAGGTCAGAGTTCATGAACTAGGACTTCCAAGTTCCCACATCGGTGCACAGAGGACAGAGAGGAAAGTTGTTCGTTGGAAATTCTCTCCCATCGCTGACAAACACGCAGGCAAGATGCACTATCGTCACTCACACGGCTGCAAAATTCACTCTCGGGCCTGAAGTTCTGCTGACAGAGGCACACCTCGGGAAAAATGAAGGTGGCGCAGAGGGAGGAAGAAGGGAGGGGTGGGAGGGGGGGCTACTGCAGGGCACATGAGGCGGCGTTGATGCCGGTTTTGATTTTGAGACATCGTCCGTGTTCGTGAGGCGTCTACGGTAAGGGCAGAGGGAGTGCGGCGCCGAGCCAGGCAGGCAACAGAAGGAGAGAGCGAAGTATTAAAGCTATCGGAACGTCAGGGCAGAAGCACAGGAAAAGGAAAAAGCGAGGAAGGAGATCAGTGGGCTGGTGTCTGAGAGAGCGTGAAGCCTAAAGGGGGCCACAAAAACCAACATCGAGGCCCCAAATAAGTCCAGAACTCGTGCTCAGTCCTGACTCGTTTGGGCCTCACAAAACTGGCTCCTGAATGTGTCGAGCAGACGTTTGTTCAGATTACGCAACAGGAAGCTACTCACGATCGAGAGTAGTGTCATTAATGTTCGATAAAACTGAAGATCCCGTTAGGGGGAACTTCTGCAGCAGCGTTATAGATATATAGAGCATAGACAGAGTCTGAGAAAACAAGTAAACGATATACAGTAAATACAAAGACTGTAAAGAGAAAACAATCAAACACTAGGAGCTAAAAATAAGAGTAGATATTACAGTGGACTCTATTACACAGAGTGAAGAAAGCGACATTTGTGCTTCTCTGGTGTGTTATGATCTTTTTACAGTACGGTTTGATGCAAAGAAAACTATTGCATACAAATGATTGGCCTTTAGTCCACCGCAGGAGGAGAAGGCGGAGCTTCTCCGACCTGGTGGGATGGTGTCTGTTAAATGCGGTCACACTAAACACGCCAGGATAGTTTTTGCCAATTCAATTAGAGTTAAATTGTTCAAATCACTGTGCAAAGTACTCTCAACCACACAAAAGCTCATCGTCGTTTACAGCAGTCGACCTCCATCATTCAACACCATTTCAGTGCGTCGACGTGCTTTCCGATGAACTTTTAAAGCGGGTGTTACTGATGATTGTCACTTCTGACTTTGTTCAAGTACTCTGTTGACTAGGTCCTGATCATTAATGCATAAATCACCACGGCTAGCACGCTTACCGGAGCTGAAGTAGGCTCACAAACACCAAAGATCTGGCTCGAAGCACCGCAGAGCAACGGGGAAGAAAATGAAAACCGCTCAACATAAACTTACATTATAATTAGATCAGATTATTGAAAGCCTTTAATATCAATATTGGCTTTAAAATAAACAAACTAAATACAGTCTAGTCTCTAATATCACTACCTCTGGGATAAACTATTTTTTAACATGTCTTAAATGTTTGAGATGTTGAGCGCATAAAGCCAATATGTTGATCACCATCATTTTTAAAGAGAATGAGCCACGCAGCGTACAGTCACTGATCCGATTAGTTAGAAGAAGCCAGCTTTGTGAGACCATCAGTCCGATTCCTGATGTAAAGACCAGCGTCTTTATTTTCTTGCATTCACATCTATTAGCGATGCCGTTCAAGTGCCTGGCGACTTGATATCGGACGCTTGGCTGTTAGCTGGTACGCTTAACGCTGCTTGAAGGAGGAGCCTATTGAACAGCACGCACTGGAAGGAACTACCACGCGTTAAAACACCTAATTCCAAAACTGGCCAACAAAATCTTGGCCGCCTTCTGAAAATTCCCAGAGGGCTTGATGAGTGGAAATCGATAAAAAGGGGCGACAGCCTACAGAGACACTGGAGAGAAGCAGGGATGGAAGCTATTAGGAAAATACTGGATAGTCAGGCATTCCAATTAATACTAGTTTCCCCAAGGGGAGGAGGGGGCTGGGGTGGGGTTCAATCTGTGTGGGCATGCCTAACAGAGTGCACCCCCTCCCCACTCACACACACATATACACACTGCAAGTCGCAGGAAAAAGGCACTAGAGTGGGGCTGTTTCTAGCCGTAGAAAAGTAAAAGCGATATACATTCATAGCTCACAGGTTTCTGGGAATAAATACACAAAATGCACTTGTAGAAAAATAAAATGTAAAAAAGCGTGGCCCCTATTTTATTTTATTTTTTAATTTTTGGAATCAGGGAGACAAGTATGGCTACTTTTTCACGGCTTTTTAAACCCCCCCTCCCCCCATTTCTCCCCACCTTACTGTGCCCGACCCAACGCTTAAAAGGCAATTCAGGAGTGACCCTCCGCTGCTCCGGCTGCGAGCAGTCGAGCCCTTTCATGCACGCCGATATGGGAAGAAGGGAGGAGGTGGACGAGGGGGGGGTGAAGTGGAGGGATGGAGCGAAGGGAGGGGTCGCTGTTGGTAGGAGGTCAAGGCTCAGCTTTCAGTGCGAGGAAGGAGAGGGGGAACTGAGGAGAACGCTTTCAGATGTTCAGACGACAGAAAGCTCAGTCACGCACACATACAGCACACGTCTCAGTGTCTTCATGTACAGTGTTCAAAGCTGGAAGGACCCGGGAGGCAAACATGTGCGTGAATCTCGGTACCGCTTTGCTTTAAAGCCTCACGCTGAGCATTCGCGAGCACTGCAAATACTCAACAACTGGTTTATAACACACTATAATTACATATGAGGTTTCACACCCGCTGTTCAGATAGACGATGAGTATAATTCATTAAGAAAATGCCATGAACGGGACTATGTTACTCTGAAACGCATTTCTATTTTAAAAAAAGTGAAATATAACAGTGGTTGTCTAGTGTATGATCCTTTTCTCCTACAGGACGCCGCCTTTGTTAGTAGCTTAGAGTCGGGACTAAAAGGCTTTCTGGCTTTTATTTACAGGAGTTTCTAAGACGCGTGCGCCATCTTTTACTGCCACAGAGGGGAATGAATGAACTCAAGTGAAAGACCAGTCCCCAAATCTTTACTGCAGAGACCCAAACCGGGCTTAGAAAAACAAGTGGCAAAGAGCTGTCACATGTAATGAGCACAATTATCAGACCGGACCTCTCCGGTGCGCAGCGTTCTTCTAAAACGTTCTCGTCGTGTCAGATCGCGTGCAAACAGAGCAGCTAACGCGTCCGCCGCGACTGAGCCGGCATCACACCTGCAACCCTTGCCCAAACCACGTTAGTAGTATTTTCAGTAAGTGAATCTTTTACTGCTCTGAGTAACGTGTGAGAGGAAAACAAGAGAAGAAGAAAATGAAAGCTCGTCATTTTGCTCCTAAAACTGCTTCATGCATGAAAACCTCTTAAAACAAGAAGAACTAAAAGTCTTTATGGGCTTTAACTCCTAAACTCTGATCAATATGATAACACGAGGAAACACGCATCTGCTTACAACTACATTATAGTGTGTCACAATCCATTTGTTTGAGGTTTATGTGCCTATTAATGTTAAACAGGTGGCTAATAAAGTAAAGTGCTACCTTAATTCTTTATATGTTGGTGTATGCTCGGGGGAAGAATCAAACTGGCTGTTTGTGTTCAAGCAAACAGAGAGAAGTCAGTGACCACAAAGACAACATCTCCCCTTAAACCTCAGCAGTGCTCGGACACACACACACACACACACCTCAAGAGTATGTCGAGAGAGAAATGAGCTCCAGCTGACAACGGGGGTGGGGGGGAAGAATCGGAGTGTTCTGCCGAGTAAGGAGTGTGCATGTAGAGGAGGAAGAGGAGGAGGGGGAAGTATTAGGTTTGCAGAGGCGGGAGCAATGAGGGTGCAGGAGGGTGGAGGAGGGGTTGTGGGGTGAATTCCACACCACTGCACGGACTCGAGACGAGAGATGGGTAGTGAAAATCCTGACTGCAGACGGAGTTCTGCCGCTCCGGCGTCTCCTTCCACGCCTCCCGCTGCTCCTCCTCCAGTTCTCTCCCCGGCGTCGAGCGTAGGTGGTGGAGTTGTGTCTTCGTGTGTGCTTGTTCGAAGGTTCAGTCAGTCCCACGAAAGAGCTGCGACAGATCCAGCTACCCGTCTCCTCTCGAAAGAGCAGACGCAGCGACGAGGCCGCCTCCGCCATCCGCGGGCCGGCTTCCACTTCCTGTCACGTGGTCGCCTCCAGGTAGCTCTGTAGTTTGCGGACGGTGGACTCGTCCAGTGAAAAGAGGTCAAAGTCAAAGGTGGTGTTGGTCACATTGAAATGGCCCGTCTCCTCGATCAGGTTGACGATCTGAGAGAGAGGAAGATCAGTTAACGTCACGGCAACCGTTAGCACCGTACGCTCACAGAATCAGAGCATCACAGGGTGATTTAGCTTTGGCACGAACACACACCTGCTGCAGGACGTTACGCTCCCTTAATGCCATCAGTCTGCGGTGGAGGTCCACCAGTTCTTCTGTGTAGGCCTGCTCCATGGGACAGGAGGGAAAAGAGGAGAGAATAAAGTCCAAGGAGTTTAAAAATAATAATAATGATAATAAAGTGTTTAAGAGTCTTCCTACTCTGTCAGCACAAAATTGTGACTCTAGAGAGATTTTTCTTCTACATCGGGGAGATAAAGGACACATGCATGACATACACGAGACGAACATCTGGGAAAACTGGGAACTCCAAACTGATTCAGAGACTAGACGCATCAGTTCTGTCGTTATCAACCGATCAGTATGTTCCATCTTAGCTTTGTGGTAATCGATCCCAGCAGGAGGTAACAGCAGGAACAAAGAATCTCTTCTGCTTTTAGACGTTTAGTCTAAATGAGGTGCTGATGGGGGTTCAGTCACCACCTCAGCCAATAAATCTTCACGGGGGAATCTATAAAGGGTCGCATGTGTTCTCCAGATTTTGGGGGCTTTTAAATGCAGCATTTGCAGGTTTTAGACTCTCATACTTCACGGAGCAACATCTGGAAGATCTGGTCCCAAATCTTCAGCGGTGTAAGAAGCACAAAGATACAGCAGCCGGGGCAATAAATAAATAACTACCATCATGAGAAAAACACGAGTTTGATCAACATCGTGAAGTTAGTAACTCAAAGAGACAAAAACAATAATCTGTTGGTGCTGGACATGGATTTCTCTTTGACTGACACCATAACATGTTTAGAGGGACTGAAGTTTTGGACTCTTCTAACAAAATAAAGATCAGTTTACCAAACGCTATTTAAACATGACTTTAATCAACGAAGAAAGAAGAAAGATGTGTTTATAGGTTCAAAGGCCAGAGTCAGTCTGCATAGCTGGATGAATTTACTGGTCATTACTGCATCTTGAATCCATTAATGTGGCCCCCGAACGCTGTCTGAAAGCCTCGTGTGTGTGTGAGGTTTAGGCATAAAAAGTTTGATTTACCCTTCCTACCTTGTCGTATCCCTTCTTCATCACCTTCTCCGAGCGAAACGAGGAATCTGGGCTTTTTCGGACAGACACCTGCAGTTCAGAGACAACAGAAAAATGTAAAAGATGGTAAGAGAGGGGGGGGGGCATACTGATAGAGAGGCAGTGATGAGACCACCTGCAAAAAAGGAGCAGGAATGCAAGTGCGAGCCAGGTGAATGGCTACAGACCGCTTTAAGCATCACCCTTAAACACACGGCCTGAATTATGGTCTACATCTATACTAAACTCACACATACAGAATGAAATCCCCAGAAAAGCAATAAACTCACAGCTTGTACTGCAAACCGCTCGTCCCACAGTGAGTGCGAACCAAACACACGACACAAGTAATGAGATTATTCTAATGAGACGACTCGTTAATAAAGTGTGCAGCAGAGTGAGGTCTGTGACTCACTTTGTTATTGGAGGAGCTGTGTTTCTGTGGGGGCGGGGCGGGGTCTCGACTGGGGCGGTGGGAGCCGTCGCTGCTGTCGCTCTCGCTGTCCAGGCTGAGTCTGACAGGGGTACAGGGCGAGGTCAGAGGTCAATGACATGCACACAGGCCTCGCACTGTCCATTGTAAGCAGAGTTAACCCTCGAGTAGAATTTGCCTTCTAACAACAAGATAAAGTTAGGTGGGCAGACAGGTCTAGATATGACAGCCTGTTATTAGACTACGGTAACGCTTTTTGCACATGTAGCTACTCAGCACAACTATAAAAAGGGAAAAATGATCAGTTAATACGCTCCAACTTTGACTTGTTTGATGCATATTGTGCAGCTTATATTCTCCCGTAGACACAGTGCATATTCACCGCTTTATTTCTCCTTTTTTACAGGATAAAAATACTTTAAAAAGCATTAAAAAGCCCAAAACATTAGTATTTGTTTAATGGAATTGAAACATCAAGCATTAACATACATACCATGACTTTCCCACTAGCGTGTCATACATGTAAGCTGACTGATAATGACTTCTTCACTGATGTGCATGTTTCTGTCACTAATTTCTGTGTAGGAAAGCGTGACAGTGCAAAGAGTGGATGTGTTTTGGGGGACTGACCGAGAGTCGCGGTTAGGTGGGTTGGTTTTGATGGGCGTTTCTTCCTCTGAGGTGGAGTCATCATCATCGGACTCTTCAGACTGGATCTCCTCCACCATGGATCGCAGGGGGCCTGAGCGACGAGTCACACAAACCATCATCTTCCATCATTCTCAGCACCCAAAATTTGTATAAGGTCTAAATTTGCTCATTAAATGAAATAATCGTATCTAATGAAATTCTATTTTTATGTGAAATGGGTCGTAGTTGACAGAACCGTACCTTGTCCTTGTTTCTGTCCCGGCTCAAAGTCAGAGTCTGAACTGGAATCTGAACTGGAGCTTTGAGTGGAAGGACTGGAGGGAACCGACGGCTGTAAAGAGAAGGAGGAGAGATCAACGAGTCCATGAAGAGACAACAACGACACTCATGGGACCGAGTATCAGATGGGCTCACGATGTAATGATGCATTGTTTTTTCTTTTAAATGGACGGGTAAGACCTCAGTCTGTTCAAGAGAAACTAACGAATTTTTCACATCAAACATTTTCCCGTTTCAAAGCTTGACTGAAGCGACCGTCTCGTCCTCCTACCTCTGATTTTGACGATGCTTCATCCTCTGAATTCGACTCTTCTGAGTCTTGTAGTTTCTTGGCCTCTTTCAGTTCCTGCGTGTCGTTTTTGCTTGGGAACCAGCGACCCTTCTCCTTCGGAGGCTTCTTCTCAGCGTACGACTGGTTTGCTGCGGACGAGGACGATACACGGGGGGAGGTTCCTGTGAAGGCCCCGCTGCCGGTGGGCCCCTTCGGCCCCTCGGAGCTGGCCTTCTTCTGCTTCTTAGCGCTCGGTTTGGGAGACTCCACCGTGGACGGTCGTTTCCCCGGTGCTTTGGGCTCCGGCGGCCCTCCGCCACCTCCCCCCCGCCTCCTCCGCCGCTACCGGCCCCCCCTCCTTTCGGAGACATTCCCTCCATCTTTGAGTCCTTCAGTGTGATTTTAGGCTCCTTGAAGGCCGCCTTGGGGAGGACCTTTACTTCATCTTTCACTTTGATGTCTGACGGCTTTTTTGAAGACGAGGAAGAGGAAGGATCGCGGCCAGGCTTGCTGCTTCCGTCTCTATCGTTGTCTCCTTTTGAAGCAGCTTTGCTCTCAGAGTCCTTGCGTGGCCGCTCTCGGTGCTCCTTGGTTAACTTGTGTGGTTTGGGTCCTTTGCTGCTGCCTCCACTTCCTTCTTTGCTGGGTTCCTAGAGAGAGAAACAACATCATCATCGACTCTTCTCCTATTTGGCTCAAACCGCCACAAACAGAATATCAGCTCAGCTGCCTCGAGTACAAACGCACCGTGTCCTCCCAAGATTCCCAAATCAAGCATTTCCAGTCTGGCATGTAATCACATTACATGTGACTGTCTCAGTAATTAGTAAACAGAATAACATCTGCCTAACAGCTGTATGAAGTTCACCATCGCTCAGAGCTGAATGAGGACATCCTCAGTTCCAGTCCCAGCATCTTGGTCTTTAATAGGCTCGAGATCTTAGCTGATTCTATTAGCTAGTTATAACTGTTAATAAGCAAGGCTATGTGGAGCTGCTGTGATGGGAATGTCGTTAGCGTCGCTGGAATCCGATTAGCGTGAAACGCACTGAAACGTATTGATGGTGCTGGACAAATGTGATACGTGATTTGTCGCAGCAGACGAAGCGTACGGAAAATCAACGATGGCTCCGTTTCTAGTGAGCTTCGGAAACAACATTAGCCGCCGCCCCCCACAACCTCCAACATTTCCAGGTTTGACTCGTGCAGCTGTGGACCACCTTTAGCAGGGTTTCTACTTGTTTAGGTTGCTCCCTGCAAGACCAATTGCAGATGGCGTTACCGTTGACGTCACACTTTTACACCGTACAGCAGTCTTCAGTAGAAGACTGTCGTGCACTGCAAAATCCTAACAATTCTCAGACCAAGTTTATTCATAATTTTATAGAGTAGGAAGCAAAGTATGAAGAGAGAGGAGGTGAGAGACACAGGTCTCAACAACCTCAACAGTGCTGCGTATCGTCAGGTGCTGCTGAAATACTTAGTGGGCACTGGGCGCGCCAAGCAGAGCGAGTTCATGGGATCATTGGTCAAGCCATCGGTTTTAAGGTGATAATTTTCAGGTTTCTTTCAAACTTCTGACCCCACATAAGTTCATCACTACTGAGTGGTGAAGGAAAAACCAGTCCGAGTGCAACAAGCTGACATTTCTGTCTGATCTCAACAAATAACCGAAAAGGTGTATAAGTGACTCTGACCAGCAGATACTAACCAATTCCTGAGTTTGTGCCAAACGTGAATAATTTTCCTCAAAGAGCTGCTGAGACATCGGTCGTGAGAATGGGGCAGAAAAACACATCGTCAACCCCGAAGCATATTTCCTCAGCCACAGCTGTCACTGGCACGGAGGCATAAAAATGCAAATGTGCAAACAAACGCGCCACAGAGTCACCAGAGCGGCTTTTAATAGAGCTCTGGCAGGCAGCGCCCACTTATCAGCAAACAGTTTTACAGCTTTTTCAAAGTGACACTATTAAAGTTGATGCACACATTAGAGCTTTTATCATACTGTTAAAAAACTGGAGAAAAAGTGCGTCTTCGGAGACTTCCTGCGCCGAGTTTTTCCGTGTCAGCAGATGGACACAGCTGGATGAAACCATTCCAGCTCGAGCTGGTGCTCAGCAAACATCCACTCATGCCACGATAATCATGGGACTGATGAAACGTGCATTTCTATGTCGAAATAAAGACGGACATTCGTTTGCACGCGTGCCACAATGGTGAGGCTTTAACAAATGACTGCGTACGAGAAGAACACAGGGGCCTGTTATCGCTTTATCAGCTCCTTATTTTATCAAGAGAGAAGGAATAGACTTAGAAAGACAATCTCCTGCCCCACTTTTAAGAAAGACCGTACCAGGTCAGTTCTGTGCTGGCCTGTGAGCTGGCAGAGTAAACGTAAAGGGATCAGTTTCCCGTTTTCTTCTGATATCCCTCCTTTCCTGGCAGGCTGAGTAATTCTGCATACAGATGCTCAAAAACAGCTGGTAGTGATTAGAAGTCTGAGTCAGGCTGTTTTGAAGGCTGATTTAATGATTTTGTTAATGTCTTTTACCCAGACAGTGTGTGTGTTTTTAGAAAATGCAATCGTTGGAGTTGACCAATAAAGCCGATTATAAATTTAAGATGAATGAGAGAGGTGCAAAGAGAAAATAAAACGGTCTAGCGGGATCATTTCTTCACCAACCTTTGACACGTGAGAGGTCTTGGTCTTCTTGGGGTCTGAGAAGGCAGAGAGGGGGATGGTGGGGAGCATGGGGTAGTCTGGGCTTGGCCTTGACATGGCCTCCGCCCCCTCGGGGACCACCAACACCTGAAATTCAAAAAAGAGGCTTTAATAGGTGCAAGCTCTGAGAACTGAAGCAAAACACATGTTCATTTTCCCCGATAGATTTATAAGTGGGCTTTATACGTGAGTTTGGAAAGAAAATCAAACCGAATCAGTATAAAAGATAAGAAATGTATCATAGATGAATTTTATTTTATGTGCAAATAAAAATGTATTAAAGCATATACTGAGGAAGACGCGCTGCAGCAGCCGAGATACAGAAACAGCGAAAAGCAAAGCTGATAAAGACTGTCCTCACTTCCTGCAGCTCAAGTTTGATCAATTTCCAATGAACTGAGTGTTCATAGTGTGCAGCACCTTAAATGTACAGCTACTCTGGGCTCGGAGGTTAATGGCTACTACAGCATTTACACATCTACACCATGGAGTTACATTAACCTCCTAGGACAGGGGTGTCCAACTCCAGGCCTCGAGGGCCAGGGTCCTGCAGGTTTTAGATCTCACCCTGGGTCGACACACCTGAATCACATGATTAGTTCATTATCAGGCCTCTGGAGAACTTCAAGACATGTGGAGGAGGTCATTTAGACATTTAAATCAGCTGTGTTGGATCAAGGACACATCTAAAACCTGCAGGACTCCGGCCCTTGAGGCCTGGAGTTTGACACCACTGTCCTAGGACACAATTTTAAATATGCAGAAACAAAAATCAGGTAAATAAATAAAAAATAATCATGTAATTCTTTGTTTTTACATCCATCAGGTCTCAATCAGCCCAAACAGCAAAAAGAAATTAAAAATGCTATGAAAGAGTTCGGTTCTTAGGAGGTTAAAATGAATCTCTGACGTGAGGTCACCTAAACAGGATCACATTATTCAGCCAAATTAAAGATATTTTTAAACTGTATAAAAATCCCTTCATTAGCCAAAGGGGGAAACAGCAGGGACATAAGAGTCAAAAGCTATTTGATCAGTAACACTGCAGCATTTTCAAATTATAGAATTGATTTAAATAATGTAACAACGTAACAATTTACAGCATATGTGGATTATTTAAGTTTACACAAGGTTTTGATAAAAGTCACACTTTCTTATTTATCAGCCGCAGTGCTGACTAAACCGATTCAGCGTCCTCGTGTTCACACAATCCCCTATTTAGCGTTCGGGCAAAGGAGTGTGTAACATCCCAGCAGCTCCCGATCTCTCTCACACACACACACACAAAAAGAGCACAAAGAAGAAGAAACATACTTTTCAAAGTGAAATCTCAGGGTTTAATTCCTTCTAAGACCCCTTTTTAAAGTAAATCAATGCTTTTTAAGACTTTAAGTGATCTCCTCAATGCGGGTTATCTGCGGCTCTTAAAGGATTAAAATGGGAGTCGAGAACAGGAAAAAAAACACTTCGAGCCAACAACTCCCACGTTAACGCTAAAATACAGTGTGCCGCACTCGCTACTATTAGCGTCTGATATTCACTTTGATCAGCCATTTAGCTCTCAGTCAGTCAGCCTGGCTACGAGCCAAAGTGTCAGGCAGCCTCACCCCTCCAGCTTTGATCAGCTTTCTCCTGAATTCTTTGGTGGGGTTGTTGAAGGTGAGCTTCTCACAGCGCAGGTGGTTGACTGGTGGGTTGCCCTCCAAGTTAAGGAAAAGGTCGTAGTTGAAACACACTTTTTTGGGCTCCTCCTGAACAGGGAGAAGAATGAAGGTTTTAAAAGTCCTTACACAGCACGTGTGGCACTCAGTCATAGACATTTCACAACGCACAATAAAAGCTGAATGACTGCACCGTCAACCCGGAAAGTCAACAGAACAGAGACAATGCTGGAGCTGGAGCACTGATAAGAAACATTCCTGAGGGAAGCTGTACAGCGGCGGAGCGGAGCGACACAGGCACATGCATTAGGTCACTCTTCAAAGACTTTATAAATAAAGTTTTTTAAGTAACCGCGATGATGGCTTAATGGTCGCTAATATTTACTTTCCTCTTCACTTTCCTTCAAGTCTTTTCTGGATCATCCTGACAGATTCGTCTCATTGTTTACAGAAGCTACTCGCACTTAAAAGGAGGATGTTGCAATTTTGGAAGCAGTTGAAAGGTTTAACATTACAAAGGACTACAGAAGATGATGGCACACTAATGTGCACAGGCCCTGTATCGTAATGCAAGCAGAGCGGTTCCTCCATCGTTCTTCTCAATGGCTGACATAAAGATGCCGGTGCTGTGACTAATAGAAACAACTGTTTCCACACCAGACGAGCCTTTCACTAACACAGGACTGCATACGAGCATTTCTCCTAAAGTGAAACGGATCCTATAACACGGCTTACCACAGGAGCGCACTCTGCTGCAACATCACTTTAAGGTGCTACAGATTTGAATCATTTAACATTCAGGTAATCGCATTACTTTAAAGTACAAGAGTAAGATATCTGCCCTTATGTCAAATTAAAAACCGACAGTTTCGAGTTACTATATATCACAAATGGAGCCACAACAAACGCGATTCAATGCACCAGATGTCAGCACACCTTTCATTACTCTAGTTACTTTTTGCCTGCCTTTAAAGACATCGTTGCTTTTCCCTGTAAAATATTTTAAAAGTGTCAGCTAGCACACTCGGGTACTCTGAGAGCAGGCTCTGCATCGCCATCGGGGATATTCCTTCTTACGAGCTCCTGGAGGCCGAGAGTCATCCAGCCAGTGTTTTGGTACGTCTGCAGCAAATAATAATACCATCCATAAACGTCACCTTCCTAACGCCTTTGCACTTGTGCAGTCACCTGTAATCACACGCCCAGCCCACGCTTCAGTCAGAGTGCACACACTGTGGTTCTAGATATGACCGAACAAATTTATCTAGTGCTCCAAATATTCCCCGCATCTCTCTTCATGCAAAGGCTATTTTGGCAGTTTTTATGACATGTTGTTTATATGCAGGTCTTTTGCAAGTCGGATCTGTGCAAACTCTCAGAGCACCCATGATGCCATTTTAAGAGGACAGCCACCACAAATCTGATCTGATTAGCTGTCCTGAGGCTCTTTAATAGAACTATTGATTAAAAGCTTTCATCTCATGATGACTTCAAATCCTCCAGCAACACTTTGTCATGTGGAGCCATGATCTAGACGTGCAGAAAGACACGGCTAACAAGTCCAGAATGGCTCATCTTATAATCACGCGTGTGCAGCCGATCTAAGTGGAAATCACAGGCGTACTTAACTTAGTTTAATAAACTACAGGTTTGATAATTGCTTGCCAGTAATCACTGGTTACTCAGCTTTGGGGGGCTCTGCTTCCAGTCTAATCTTTCTAACGTCTACCTTAGATTTTCCATAAAAGGATAGAAAGTAGCCCAGCCTTTAATTAGTCAATTATGTGATCATTGAGAGCTGATACTTCTGATTTATAGTGTACATATTTTTCCACCAGAGGTTCTGAACCATCACTGCCTTTATACGGCCACAAGTAATTGCATTACTCCTGGTTTAGACGGTAACTTGATTACGTTCACATCAAGTAAAAGGGAAACCCAGTTTTCTCTATCAAGTTAAGGAGTTAACCAGATTAACATGAGTATTGCTGGAAAAGCCTGATTTCTCCTTATATGCTGCATTCCTGTGAGAGTGTAAAGGCAGCCTTAAGTCCCATTCAGACTGAGATGCATCTCTAAGGGAGGTGATTGTGTCGTTATTTGCAGCAGTCAGTGATTTTTTTACCTCCCCCCCAGTTTTCCTGCAGATCTCTGCAGAGCATCACAGATTTTTCTCTCTGCTTTTTCCTGTTTTAACCATTTTAGCTCAGCCACGTGTAAAAATGAACTTTTAGAAAAACTAACATTTTCTAATGCATTCAGGTATTCTCACCTTGTTCTTGAAGTAAACCTCAATAGGCATGAGGAAACCTGCGTAGCCCGACTCCTCCACTTTGTACGGAGGCTCCTTGCATACTGCAGAGAGACAAATATGTTTTTTAACCCCCAATAAAGAAAATAAATAATCCACCGACTGTAACAAACTCTGTCGAGGTCACAATATGCCCGGATATTTTCACATTACTTAATTTAAAGGGATGCAAAAACAAAACGGCGGCACAAACTAGTGAGAAGCATGCTTTTATTCTGATAGGATTGCGTGTTTTTAGCATTAAATGATAGTGGACTCATAATTGGCGTAAAGAGAAAATTACAACAATATTCCTACTGGGCTGTCACAGCGGTACAGTTTATCTTTGTGCTGCCTGCCCTCACTCTGACCTCCAACAAACAACCTCATTTCAACATTTAGAAATCTGATCAATTTCTCACGTGTCATATGTAACAGGAAGAAATGTGTCATCTGTATAAAATCACAAAAAGGAGTGAAAAACAAAACTGTTTCCCTCTCAAAGATTCGGTGCCTTTTCTTTTAAATCACCGGCTGTTTTCACTGTGTGGGATTTTAAAATAAACTGGCAGAGAATGAAAATGTGTGGTTGTGTGAATGTTTACATGTCGTTATTGCTCTGTCCTACCTCTCTTGGGTTTGGGGAAGCTCTCGTGCAGGCGGAAGACAACCTTCTCTACAAAGTGCTGGATGTCACCAGTCTCTGGGCCTCGGACAAACACCATCCAGTCGTGGGTGAAGCCTTCTGATGTCACCTTCTTCCTTAGCTGAGCTCGGTGGCCCAACTCTAGTTTTACCTGCACAGTGCACTGAAAAGAGACAGAGTACTTTAAATACCAAGAATGAAGGCGTTCAATTCAGTTTTATTTACACAGCGCCAAATCACAACAACAGTCGCCTCAAGGTGCTTTATATTGTACAGTAGATCCTACAATAATAGATACAAAGAAAAACCCAACAATCATGTGACCACCTATGAGCAAGCACTTTGGCGACAGTGGGAAGGAAAAACTCCCTTTTAACAGGAAGAAACCTCCGGCAGAACCAGGTTCAGGGAGGGGCGGAGCCATCTGCTGTGATTGGTTGGGGTGAGAGAAGGAAGACGGGATAAAGGACAGGCTGTGGCATGGGAGCAAAACCATAATTTCAGGTATTGTAAAAAAAAAAAACAAAAAACACAGATTTAAGAGATTGAGAAACTCATACTGACATTTTGTCACGTAGAAGTGAGAAAAGCACAGAAAATTAATCCCTTGAGATTTTTATGGGACGAAAGCAACCTGAACTTTACTGGCTTCTGCCTACATTTCCAGGCAATACTGTCACTCAGGTCAGTTTTTATTCATCAGCCAAAGTCAAGGGGCTTTAAATCTATACAACACAGGACACAGACAGGATAAACCTCCTAGTTTGCAACCAACTAATAATCAGCACTTTATTTTCTATGCAACTTTCTTGTTTTCGGTTTTCGGAGTCAGCGAAAAGGTGAAAAAATAAATACATAAACGCTGAGCAGACATTTTCCATTGTCTTGTTAGAGGACTAACCATCTTTTGATTTGGACCTAACTCATTTAAGAAGCTTGTTAAATGTCATCTGTGCTGGAAAAGTGAGGCCAACTCAAATAATATCTGTCCGTCCATCCATATTTCTTAACCGCTGTCCAGTACGCCCTCGACAGTCTATTGCAGAGATAACAGACTCATAATCACACTTACATCTATTTCAGAATCACTGATTAACCAATCATGCATGTCTTTGGACTACGCAGGCACACGGGTACATGCTCCACACAGAAAGACCCCCAGCCGGCCGGGGGTTCAAACTCAGGAGGTGACAGCATTAAATGCACCACTATGTGACCCACAAATTAAAATTAATTTTAAAACAAATCTGCGGTAGTTTATCTGTTCTTATGAAGAAAGATCTGAGGATGAAAGGAACGCCCTTCTTTGCATTAGATCTGAGGCAGGGGGTTTCTAAGGATTGATATCACAGATTTATGATAAAGGAGAAGGTGCTTTTGGCAGCACCTTTATTTCTGAACGTATCACCACAGAGAGACATCTGCATGTGTGATTGGGCCTGATTTACACCGAATGACCTTCCTGATCCAGTCTAGGGCTGAACGATATATCGCATTTGCGATAATATCGCGACATGATCAAGTGCAATTTTCTAACCGCAAAGGCTGCGATTATACTGCGATTATAAGGCTGTCCAAATTACTACCATATCCCAGAATTCATAGCGCGGCCCAGCCAAACTCCAGTTTCCAGCAATGGCGGCCGCTACTAAGTTTTAAAATTACTCATACTAATCTTTCTGGGTCACAAAATAAACTTTTAACATATTTTCAGGCGAGAAAGTAGTTGTGTAAACATCAAATATCTGCTCGGTTTATCAAGATATCCCATATTTGCAAAAGTGCTTCGACGTTTTCAGAGGCGTCTGCTACCCACCAGCTCGACAGCTAGCCGGGAGCTCGAGGGTTACTGATGCGGCCGAGAACGGCACAACTCCCGGCACATCATTTTCAGATCACCGCGGAGTTTCGCTGCTCGGGTTAAACGTAATATATAAGTCACTTAGACAACCTAAAAATGTTATTGTTGGGCTTTTTTCAGTGTTTTGTTTGTTCGTGAGTAAATCGGTTTGGCTGAGATTAAAGTTATTATATTAGATAAAATAAAACTTTATTAATCCCCCGGGTGGGTTCCTCCTTGGTTTTCACACAGCTGACTAAACGTCAAACAGAAAACTTATTAAACAGAAGTATGAGACAGTCGAGAATTTACACCAGTGTCTGGTTATATTTTAGATAGCAAGAAGCAGACGGCCGAGTTTATTAAACTCCACCGAGACAGCGGTGACGCTAATCAGAACTAGACCGTCCAATTTCACGCCTTTAAACTTTAAAGGCGTGTTTGTGTGTGTGTTTATACAATTGCTATTATGTTTGCACTTTATGTGTAATGTTACTGACTGCAAAGATCAGTAAGATGTGTGTATTTTTTATTTATTAGTTTTATTTATTTAATATTATTTTTTAATTGAATGACTGTCTAGTAGTTCACAGATGTCGAAAAACTGAGTGTGGTAAAGCCACTGATTTTGTTTATGTATATTTCTGCAATCTGCACATTGTACTGACTTTCATTTTAATGTTTACACCAGGGTTCCTTGTCAGCACTTTATGCTCAGATGTTTGTAAGCTAAAAATAAACTATTGTGTATGTTCAAATATACTGTTGTGATTGAAGAAGTTAAATAAAAATGTCAGTCATCAATTCATGCATCACCTCATGTCATCATAACAGAGGTCTGTCTTCCAGGAAAGAACAGTTTAAAATTAATGTAATATAGTATTGGCCATACTATATGATGTATTGCTTGTCTTTGTTTAATAATAAAGAAGACAAAGACCTTAAAAAATAATCGCATATTGCATCGCAATCGCAATATTGGGGCAAAAAAATCGCAATTAGATTATTTTCCATAATCGTTCAGCCCTAATCCAGTCCTCCCATTTATCCAGGCTTGGGACAGGCACTAAGGTCGTGACCCCTGAGGCTGGGTTTGTGTAGCCTCCCAGACTCAAACCACACTTTTTTTTTTTCCACATGCAAGGTGAATGTGCTAACTGCTAAACTGCTCGATTAATGATTAAGAAGAAGAAAACAAAAACAGCTCACACAGTTTTAAGTTGGTTTGACATACTCAGATTTTTTTGCCTTTAACATCATTCAGTACTAGCTTACACTAAAGTACCCTGCTAGCAAATAAAGAGGAAATAAATACTAATGGAATAGTTCATTCATTTTTATATTTTACTAACAAATAGTTTAATAGCTTAATAAAACTCAGCATCACTGAACACAGCAAAGCTTTTCAGTCAGTTTAACAACTACAGCCAGACTTTGTCGGCCATCTCTCCTCTGTGCTGTTCCCATGTTTCTGTAACATCATAATGAATCTCTGGGTTTCCGACACTTGGCTAAACAACAGCTTTTGCTTTGGGCCTGAAAACATTGCATCCAACTGCAAAACCATTAAATACGATTAAAACTGGAAATCTTTCATTTTTGGGGCGATGACGTCACCGTGACCTTTAAACAAACCCGCTTACCTTTACTTCAGTTGTTTTATAGAGTCGGCTATTAATCATAACAACTGTCTACAGATTTTAAGTCAATTATCAACTGCATTACAATCGATAATGACTGTAAGTCAAAGCCCCGTGCTATTGGCTGCATCCCGGTCCCTGGCAGTGACAAATTACAGCAGCAAAGACACCTTCCAAGCTGAGGTAGCTTATGAAATAAACATAAGCAAAGCCAGTTGTAAGATTAATCCACGGAGCAATTATTCATTGGGTCGCGATTCCACCTTGAACAAAACCTCTGAATCTCTCGAGTGTTAGGACTCGACACTCGAGTGGAAAGGGGCCGGACAGAAACAAAGCCGGACTCATGCAGGGACGCTCCCAGTGGAATGGGAGTGATTAGGTGCCCGAGCAGAACAATCTCAAAAGGTTTGTCCAGAAGAGGGTCGCGTTGTTGGGCCACAACTGTCTGCCAAGAACAATGACAGCAGCGGGCCACGCAAGTGACACAGCGCTGGTGGAGATAGAGCGCAGGAGGGGAAGCGAGGGGTGGAGGCGGGCGGGGGACAGAAAGGCACTTTATGTCCAGGGGAGGACTGAAGAATGTGGGGATTTGGCCCCTGCACCGAGGAGCTCGTGAGCTGGGACCGAGCGGGGGGATTAGAGGGGACAGGATTGAGATGAGCTGGTCTGGCACTCCCCAGCACGAACGCACACAAACACGCACACACAAACAGGCATGCACATACACCTCCCCGCCTGGCGCTCTGCCCGGCCATTCTGTGGCAGTAATGCCCTTAAACTCCAGACTCCACCACACCCACAGCGAGCCGCCATGGACTCCCTCCAATCATCAGTGCCCCCCCTCCCCCCGAGGAGCTGGTTTAAAAAAAAAAAAAAAAAAAAAAATTTAAAAAAAAATCAGGGTTGTGATAAGCAAACATAAAAATCAGGATGACAACGAGCCAAAGAGGAAGATGCTGATTGTGCTTCAGAAACACACAAAAAAGAATGAGCGCTAAGTGATTTCAGTAACAGGTAAAGTTTAAAAACATTTAAATATAAATAAAAACTAAAACAAGGGAATTTGAGGATTTCTTCATTCTCTGATATTATGATTGATCCTTTAGCAAAATGAAGAATCAGAGGAAAAAATCTCTTCTCACAATTTTTAAGCAGAAAAAAATTGACAGAAAAAAAGCAATTGGCTCCAGGAGTGCGTGCAATATAATAATAATGAAACGAATTAAGAGAACGAGACAGAGAACCCCGTCCCGAGGTAAGCAGTTAATTAGCTGATAGTCAGAAAATGAGTGCAAGTTTTTGATGAGTAAAAAGATCAATCAAAACATTTTCGAGTCCATATCAATATTCTCCCGTTTCACCTTCTGAATTGAGAAATATTTTCTCATTTGTTTTGACAATAAACTGAATATTTTTGTGGGGTGATGGCTGAACATTGCAAGTCATCTGACACCACTACCTTGATTATTAGACTGGATCATTTTCAGACTCATCATTTAAGAAAACAATCGGCCGATTTATTGATAACGCCGTAACACGATGAAACAAGAAGTGTACTCTTCCATTAAACACATTTTGTTGGTGCAGTTGCAGGAAAGTTTACAATTAACATCTATTTTTATTATCAGTTAGTTTATAGATTTATTTTCTTCAGTTGTTAATTGATAAATTAAGCTATTAAATCTCTGTCGTCTACACATTTCCAAATCTAAGGTGACATATTCAGATGTTCCTCTCTATGAGCAGTCCCAAACCAAATCAGAAGCAACGAAAATTTCACCACAACATTCAAGATGATTTTGAATATACAAAAAAAGAAGGAAAAAATTCCTCTAATATTTAAACAGTTTAAACTTTATGACAACAAGAAGCCAGAATTATGAAGACACGAAATGAACTCAACACTGGTGCAGATACACAGGAACCAGAGTGTCAAACAGTTTAGTTCTACTAAAATAAGCTGGGCAAACAGGCGTGTGGAGACAGTTATTCAGCTAACTTCCATCAAAGCCAAAGCATGGGATAAAATAAATAAATAACACAAAGCCACCGATATTGAAATGATGCGTGCATGCCCCCTCTCTCTTTCACTCACACAGTGCTTCAATTGAGGGGAAATACAAATTTTGGCAGACACACTGGCTCCCATGAAAACAATGAACTCCCAGCTGCCATGTAAATAACACCCCTCATGACCGTGTTAATCTCTTCCAGCAAATGAACGATTAAAATAAAAGTCAGAAAGTTTGCCTGAAAGGGGACGAACAAGCGCGCGACACCAGTTGTCTTGTGGGGATGCTGAACTCTTTCCCCGTACCGCACAATCTACGAGATAACGTGGATAGAGGTGAAACAGTTACTTGTACTGGAAAATGGTCAATCCCTGGGAGCCACAGGGGAGTCACAAATAGCCTATCTGCAGCACCCAAAGAAAACAAGTGAGCATTGGAAATAGGGTGTGCGAACGAGCGTGTGAGGATTATGAAAAGCTGCACGACCACTCATCCTGTCATCTCAACTGCAGCGTTCATGCCACAAAGATCAGAGCACGAGAGAAGAGAAAAAAAGAGGCTCCTTTGCTGTCCACACAGAAAGCTGTATGACTAATCAAGCTGCTATCCCGCTGCTAATGTCATGATGTTGGACTATGCAATAAATTGAATTCCCCATTTTTAGTCTAAACTTGATCCTTCTCTGAGTCTGAAAGAGCAATTTAAACCTAATGAGATCTAGTCCAACAACCTTGCAAATATATCTCAGTGTTCTGAAGTGCATTTGGATCAGTGAGGCCAGACATACTCACTACAAACACTTTTAGGAACAAAGCAACTCCGTTCAATGGGAACACACTACAAAATGACATCGGTGTGCCCTTGATCAAGGTAGAATTTGAATGTGTACACATGAAATGCCAGTGCGTGTGATATTTGTGTAAAGTGTTTGGAAAAGCTATTTGCAAATCTTGCCTATGTAACAAAGGTAACATGCGTAGCACAAGTACAGCTAGAGAAAGCATTTAACTTGTAGCAGGAGACTTCCTCTGGATGCACTAAAACTTCAAAGGGGCCAAAGCTGAGCGGAGACCCGTTCCAAGAAAGTGGCTGAGCCACTTTCCATGGGTGTGTGTGGCCTAGCCATCTGAAATAAGTCCTGAATAGCCTCGGGCATTTTGAGAGTAACCCATTCAGCAGCATCTACTTTACAGTTAGCAGATATGTAATTTGGTTTAGCCCCTTTTCTGTTTCTGTGAAATAAATTAGGTACCTTTTTATGGTGTCATAAATTTTAACTGCGCAAATTTATATGTGGATTGCACAAAATGTCGAGGCACGACACTGCAAGATCACAAAGTTCACAGAACAGCCTTTAAAATTATGTTTTATACTGAGGATTCGCTGCTTTATAATAAGCAGCAAATCTTTACTGGACTCAACATTTGCCACACACGGAGCCTGTCAGTTTTTCACCATGCCACACGAAGGTGATGACCATTAAACATTAACCAAGTGCTGGCAAATAATGCAGACACTGCATGATGTACGCAGATTGCTGGTTTTATTTGCTTTGTATGTTAAGGTTTCAGGCCGCTGGCACTGGAGACAACACCCGCCTCTCCAGGTTTCTCTCTCCCGGCGCCTTGTAGCGACTCCTTAGCTTTTAGCCAACGGCCGACACTGTCCTCATAGGTAGATTAGCTTAGCTCGGCGGTACAAAACCTCGACTTGAGACTGGTCTTCGTGCTGTTTAATGTTGTGCATGTGCTGTTTAAAGCCAGCAAAGCAGTAGCTGTAGCTCTCTTTGTGTGCCTGGCTGTGGCTAGAGCTATGCAGCGGTACTGACTGAATGGTGTAGTAGACTGAGCTCAGCTAGCGGTAAATACCGATGTATGAGTGCCCAGCTAGCATAGCTCCAGAGCCAAACAACTACGAGTTCATTAGCAGCAGGAGCATTTTTTTCTTCTGGCTAGCAGAACAGAGGATTCATTCCTGACCAGCCAGCGCTTAGCCTGCTGCCATTTACAGCCTGAAAAGTTCATATAGCATCGGGAGACACAAAAGCCACTCTACCTGGTTCTCCATGTTTCTCTGGCCTCAGTGAATGATGGATATATTTACAGCGGCGTTAGTGGAGCTTCTACCCAGCCTCGTCTACTCATTGTGTGTCTATCCTTCTGCCCAAAGCGGAAGGCAGACGGCTCCCTCCCCTCGCAGACGGCATCTGGCAGGCTACCAAAACAGAAAGCTCTCTCAGCCAATAGGAGAACGGCAAATGGAAGCGCTCTTGAAAGGAGCCAACCAGCGATCGCCAAAGGCGGGCCAGTCCCCGAGCTGCAAATACAATTAAAGCATTTTCTGGTGGTTCTCTGGAGTGACAGCGAGCTTGTCCCAATGGCTACAGCTCTGTTTCAATTGTAAAATGCACAGCATGCTAATTGATTAATCGGGGTTCGATCGTATTGGGTTTCAGATTTTACCCATTTCTCTTCCTGTCCTAAACGCAAAATCGATGGCACTAACAATCAGCCTAATCTTACTCTTACAATCCTCTTATATTTACAAATTTAAAAAATGTCTTTCTTTGCCTGCCCTGTAAAAACTGCCCTATTAAAAACTACAGCTTCATATCTAACCCACTGGAAAGTCAGTAAACACAGACACACAGAGTGTTTTTACACCACATTTATTTAGGAAATGTAATAAGAGTCTAAAATATGGCAGATAGTTCAATAACAATTTGAAAATAATCATAAATATGAATCCAATAAATACAGAATATGTATAGGAGCTGCTATTCACGCAGAGTATTATGACTTTGCAGAATACTTTCAATGCACTGCCTCACTTGCAATGCGTTACAGTGCTTTAAATGACCCGAACGCTTCCTGCACTGGCAAAAAGCAAGCATTTAAAGGTCACTGATGTCAGCTAAAGCCTGCAAAACCTGTTTTTTGTGGGGGGTTTTCTTTATGGCCAGTTCTGATGCAATCTTATCCTGCTGTGTCTGAAGCATGGGCAGACTCAAAAAGGAAGTTTATGGTTGCACAAACTTTTATGTGTCATCAAGATAAAAGTTTATCCACATACACCAGGGTATATCTGAATAAACTTAATTTTGCCCAAAGCTCCAACTCCCCAGGTGGCTGTAATGAGCTTAGACGACTATGTCTCGACTGGCTCGGTGCACTAGCTCCATTTCAAAAGTTTCATCTGAAAAGAAAGCGCTATGTCTTCTAATTGAAGACGTTTCTTTTATACAGACTCAGGGAGTTAGGGCCCATTGCAGTCAAGTCTGAGCTGAGACTTTGATGTGAGATTATCGGGCCTCAGCTCTGTGACAGAAGGTCACCACTCTCTCACTGGCTTGATGCCTCCCCTTCTCCTTCTCCTGCTGCTCAAAGTGATCCAGCCTGCCTCTCAGTCAAATTTGAGGAAAAGAAGTACGACCAGGCTGTCAGACATGTCCAGCTTATATTGAGATGTCAACCTTTAAAATCCCCTTTTCAACATGCAGTGAAAGACAAAATCCCACCAGATTTACAGATAACAGAGTTTTACTATAGTTAAATCAGCAGGACAAGTACAGCCAATAACCTGGAATGGAAAGGATAGATACGTGTGTGTTTGAGAGAAATGAAAGATGCAGTGAACAAAAATGTTAGAGCAACAGATTAGAGATGGGAGACAAGAAAACAGAGAACAGAGGAGTAACAAATGAATAACAAACAGTGTTGGTACACAGAACAGAAATACAACAAATCTGGTGATTCACAGTTGAAAATATAATATTTTCCCAGGAAACTGGGTATTGGAAATGAAAAAAACTAAACAAAATAATAAATTAGTCTTTAAGTAAGTTGTGAAAGTGTGTGGTTGTCTATCTGTCTGCCCTGTGGTGAACAGAGGAAGAGGAGAGGGAGTGTTTAAATAACAATCACGAACATTTAGCAAGAGACACAAAGACAAAGTTGCACACATTTCACACACAGCATGGGCCTTTTTAAATAAACAGGTTGCTCAGCTTTGTTTGTGGATTCCTCAATAAAGAGAACATCCGGATCCACAAAAGGCTTAAAAGAGACATAAGGAGCAGACATGGCAGCCTGAATTTACAGGAGGATTTCACAACAGCAAAGATAGAAGTAAAACTTTCAGGGGAAAGAAAAGTCACCATGCATTTAAGGAGCTTTTATTTATTTATTTTTCTATCTGATATTACCAACACGGCTGCAGCGAGGAGAGGTTTCTTCTAAATGGCACTGCCATAACAGATCCAGTCACTCACCACTCCCATTTAGTGTGTGCCTTATTAAATCGCTTCCGGCTTTTGGTGAGCTGAACTTGAGCCAATCTGAGAAACCAAACACAATTTTTCTTTAGGCAGGAAACTTATTTCTGTACAAAAATTCGCACACAACCAAAAACAATATCTTATACTGTTTATTTAAAAAAAAAGGTGGTGGGGGGGGGGGGGGGGGGGGGATAATAAATATAGCCTGGGAACCAAATGAATAAGAGAGCTCATGTTTCTTTAGCTCGTGCAGAAGGCATCCGTCTGCACATTTCCACACAGCCCTGTTTGTGTCAGGCCAATCACAAACATTCATCTAATACAGGGCAGGTTTGATGGAAATACACTGAGGATGCTGTGGATCTTTTGTAAATAACCAAGATGGCTGCTGCTCACCTTATCTGCTACTGAGATAACGTGTGGTTCGTACATTAATTTATACAAGAGTTTCTGAAGCTATATTGACATCACTTTTGTCTCTTAAGCGGCTAGTTAATCAAATGAATAACACCAATACTGTGCTTGACATTCTTCCATCTCGCATAGCTAAGGACTGTTGTGATGTAATTGGACCTAGTATCCTATTTCTTATGAACCTTTCCTTGCTCTCAGGCTGTGTTCCTTTGGCCTTTAAACATGCTGTAGTCCACCCGATTCTTAGAAAAAGAAACTCTGACTGTTATGACCTTTTAAACTACAGACCGATCTCTAAGCTTTCGTTCTTGCCAAAAATCCTGGAGAGACTAGTTCTCTCCCAGCTCCAGGCGTACTTGGACACGAACAATATTGCTGAGAAATTTCAATCTGCTTTTAAGCCATTGCATAGCACTGAAACAGCGTTGGTTAGAGTTCTTAATGATATTCTTGTAATTACTGATACTGGACGCTCTATGATCCTAGTTTTATTGGACCTCTCTTTGGCTTTTGATGAGCTGGACCATAACATCTTATTATTAAGACTTGAGCACACTGTGGGTATTAGAGGCACTGCCCTCGACTGGTTTAAATCATACCTTGCTGATAGATCCTTATCAGTTAACTTAGGCACCTTCTCCACTTCCTCTGCACCAGTCTGCTGCGGTGTACCTCAAGGATCAGTTTTAGGCCCTATTCTCTTCTCGTTGTATTTGCTCCCTCTAGGTGCAATCTTTGAAAAATACAATATCGCCTTCCACTGTTACGCCGACGACATACAGATCTATTTTGAACTTACTGACGACCTTGCTGTGTCCCTGCACTACTTTCAAGAATGCATGCGGGAGGTCAAAGAATGGTTCCTGAGTAATTCCCTCGTTTCAAACGATAAGAAGACTGAGACTGTGGTGTTCAACAGTAAAATCCCTTGTGTCGAACTCTGTGCTGCCCTGGGTTCCTTTGCTAGCTCTTCCTGTGACTATGTCAGTAACTTGGGTGTACTGGTGGATAGCTCGCTCAAACTCGATAAGCAAATGTCTGCTGTAGTGAGATCTAGCTTCCACCAACTGCACCTTATCTCTAAGGCTAGGCATTATGTTCTGCATGAGGACCTGGAGAAGCTTATTCACACTTTTGTGACCTCCAGGTTGGATTATTGTAACTCCTTGCACTACGGTCGTCCCTCTTCTCTTTTTCTTAGACTGCAAACAGTCCAAAATGCAGCAGCCCGCCTTTTGACTGGTACCAGGAAATTTTGCTGTATTCTAGCTGGCTTGCACTGGCTACCCATAAAGTACCGTACTCAATTTAAAATATTACTCCTTACATTCAAAACTATTAATAGATTAGCGCTGAGTTATCTTAGTGAACTTCTCAGGCCACATACTCCTGCTAGAACACTTAGATCTGCCACTCAACTACTTCTGACCCAACCCAGATCTCGGCTGAAGTCCCGGGGTGACCGTGCGTTTGCTCTGGCTGCCCCGGTACTGTGGAATAATCTTCCTCTTGATATCCGCACATCTGATTCTATTGCACTGTTTAAATCACGACTAAAAACCCACTTATTCAGTCTTGGCTTTCCCTCTAGTTAACATTTCTGTTATGATTTTATATGATGCACTTTTATGCTCATTTAATTCCTTGTTTGTTCTGTATCTGCTGCTTTCCTATGTATCAGTGACAGCTATTTGCTTGCAAACCTAGTACTTGCTTTGGTCCCATTTCTATTATCTTCCTTTTATTCTCTATGTTACTTGTTAAGCACCTTGGCATACCCTTGGTTTTAAGTGTGCTTTATAAATAAAGTTCATTATCATTATTATTATTATTATAAACCTCTGTCGGGGCCATCAAGCAGTCTGGACTGGGCTTTAATGCAACTTTATCCCCATAAATATCTCAAAGTGAGAGAGCGCATTTCTGTTACAAACAACCTGAAGACAGAAAATATTTGTTTCTGACCGACTACAGTCACTCATATATATCTCATTTCCAACAACACGGTGCCAGTGTGTCTTCAGAACTAGCCCACATTTTGACAGGTCTGAGAGCCAATTGTTACATAGTAACTGCATCTGCCAATCAGTGGTGAATTTCCTGTGGTAGCCCCACCCAGTGACTCCAATTTGGTCCTTGGATATTTTGTGCTTTTTGGCACTTTTGTGCCACATTTGTTTTTTGAAAATACATGGGACCTGCTCTAGGAACTGGATTAGTGTAAATTCAGTTTTCTGTCCTGTTGATTAGCCCGTGTCGTTCAGCCTCACCAGCTTTGATCAGACTTCTCTCGAATCCTCCTGTTGGGGTTGTGAAAGATTAGCATCTCAGAGTGCATGTAGTCACTCTCTATTATTGTAGGGTTTTTACCGTACACATATTGTTCCAATAGGCGTGACACTAAGTGATATGTGACTTCTGCATTACTCCCTTTGATGAAGTTGCAACACTCGAGCATTTCACAACTAATGACGAGAGCAGAACGCAGGAGC